GGTCTATATGTAGATATCAGCATATTTTCACCATCACTTACGCAACACATTGATGTCATACTTCATATGTAATGCACAGCACAAAAGTCTAGTTAATAGTGTATTTTTCATACACATAGCTTTAATAGACTATGTATATCACACACAGCTTCATATACAACACTACAAGACAAAATGCAGAAGTGTGACTAAGGCTGTGCAAGATATTATCTGGGGATTTTTTCTGGCACTTTGGATAACTGTGCTTTGTAACCGCTGACACTATCTGTTACCTGCTCCACGTTACTGACAGGAAGAAGTGGGACACAGACTCCTAAACCAGCAGGCACAACACATAGCTATTCCTATATTTAGAGAATCATGTCCCAGAGGCTCATAGACTTTAAAGTCAGAAGGGACCATTATGATCTTCTAGTCTGACCTCCTGCACAACGCAGGCCACAGAATCTCACCCACCCACTCCTGTAACAAACCCCTGACCTATGTCTGAGCTATTGAAGTCCTCAACTTGTGGTTTAAGCACATCTCTAAATGTCAGATTTGACTTCACCAACAATCTTAGAAATGACACACTAATTAAAATTGATAACATTTAAAAAACTGTTTAAAATTTCCAAGCAGTAAGGTGAGCAGACAAGAATTTTTTTAACCCTTTAGTATCAAAGAATTTCAGATGTTGACAGATAAATCAGAACTTTCTTCCCATGAAACATCAAGAATGTTTCTTTTATTCTACCATTGAAACTTATTTCCATCCTTAAAGTCTCCACTCTTTTATCTTGATTTTATGCCAATATAATTGTTAACTGCAGCAGAGTTCTGTTGGTGCAAAAGTGGTGTAATGGAGGGGAGACTCAAGTCTATTGATCAGAAAGCTACAACATTAATGTGAAGTACGATACCTTCTGTCCAATATCTCCGGTGAATCCTTTTTGTCCCTGTTATTTACAGTAAATAAGATAAAATCATCATCACATTGATATTTCTACTCAGTTTTTTCTACTATATTTGACTTTTCAGAATCAGACACATAACCCAATAAATAATAAGCAGTGAAACTGGCAATGTGCTGGAAAACAGTATTATTGTTGCTATCTATTATTTTTTGAGGTGCTAACATGGATTGTACAAAATGCAGAAGACGACACTGCCCTGATGCAAGAAGCTTATAATTTAAGCGGAATGATACAATTGATGCATAAAGGGCCAGATCCAACTCCTGTTTGAGTCAATGAAAAGACAGCCGTTGATTTTAATGGGAGTTGGATTGCACCCAAAATACATCTGCAGACCAGGAAGTTTAGAGCCCAATCCTGCTATGTGCTGGTTACCCTAAATTCCCAATGGGAGCACCTTTCTGGATTAAGTCCTTAGAACACATGAAGTATTTGGGGAGGGGGAATGGCAAGAGGCACAGTAGGGGTGTGACAGCATGTTACTAAAGTAGGATAGGCTTGCCAGAAGAAGGGAGTTTAAGGTGAGGTTTGCATTAATAGGGTTAAAAGACATGGATGGAGAAGTTCAGGGAGTCTGGCAGTAGTTACCCAGGACAAAAGCGTTCTGTTCTCCTTTATTTTATTCAGACGTATATCATTTAAAATATATATAAAGAAGCACTGTACTTTACTGGGCTAGTCATGTGCTCCTAATTGCATTGATAAATTAAAAGGAAGTGACTATGTAAAGATGAAATACTCCAGGATAACTTTACTAGTTTTTCCTAAACACAGACAGAAACTGTACAGTGAACGGGCACTGGCTAGGCTGTCTGGCATCTGTGGCTATGACAGAAAGATTAGATATATCAAAATATTAGACCTCACAGTTCAGAGTAGAGGGGACTGGAAGCATTTCTTGGAATAAATCAGAACTATTCTCTGATTAGTTTTAGTGCGGCAGAATTTTTTCTCTCATTTCAAAAGAAGGTTTGTAAATAATGATATATGTAAATGTGAACTTATTTAACTGTAAGATGTATCTAAGCTATATAAAATATATCTATGGAAGGACATATAATCTGATTCTATCCCTCTCCTGCACCCTTCAGGTGTTGCTTGTCTTTTTAGACTGGAAGCCCTTCAGGGCAGGAACAATATCTTCCTGAGTGTGGACAGCATTAAAATATTGTTACAATAACAACAACAATATTAAAAGAATGCTCCAATAAATAATTAGGGTTATTATTACTATTATATTTTTATCTTTTACTCTAATTTTAAGAGTTTATAACTTATTTTCTAATGTTTATACGTTGCCATAGGCACACATGGCAATTGATAGACAAATAAAAACAACAATCCCCCCCCACCTCACCCAATGACTTTACAACCTATGGCCCTAATCTTACAATATGATCTGTACGGTGGATTTTTACGGAGCCCCTGCGAAGTCAATGGGTGCAGAAGTCTGCTTCTGTGGACCAGATTGCAGGATTTACAGTCAGAAATGATAATGGAACAACTTTTTTTTTCCCCTGCAGTTTTCGCTCTCACTAAAATAATGTAAAAACAAGTTAAGAGTTTCCATTTCTTTTTCCTTTTTCATATTTACCTTTGCTCCTTTCTTTCCTGGTTCACCATATCTATCAGCACCATTGTCTCCCTGTAAATAGAGCATTATATTTAAATCATCTGTTTTTTCCGTCAGTGCTTTACTCCAGCTATTAATGTCTATATTAATTCTAAGTGTCTATGTAGCAACCCAAATATGAGGAGGACAGAGAGAAGCGACAGGATTGGCAATTTATAAATTAAGAACTAGCTTTTGGCCACACACTGCCCATGGAGAGAATAAAACACAAACCTGAATTCCCCGTTGACCTGGTGGCCCTCTCTGTCCTTTCTCTCCAGGATCACCATATTCTCCCTGTTAAATGCAATTAATATGAGCTGAGACTTGTAAGTAATATCTTTTAAACCCACAGAGCCTGATTAAGCTTTCTATCCAGCTGATTTTAAGAATACTGTAGAAGCTACAATCCAAAGGTTTAATAAAGATAAACAGTAAATCTCACTTAATTACTTACGATTAAGGCTGCATGTCTGTCATGGAGATCACGGAAGTCAGATACCATGACTTTCTGTGACCTCTGTGACTTCTGCAGTAGACAGTGCAGCTGGCTCAGGGGTGTGTGGGAAGGGGCTCAGGCTGGGGCAGGGGATTGGGGTGTGGGGTGGTGCTTACTTCGGCGTGGGGGGGCT